GCCTTCGCAGGCGCGTCCACGCCTCTGCAAGCACCACTCTGCCTACACATCCCCGCATGCACGCACGCACGCACGCATGCATGCATGCATGCGGGCTTGCCTGCGCGAAAGGCCTCGAACTTGACTGCGAACTTTCTGCGCAGCGAACGCGCGTGGTGCAGCGAAAGGACCAGCTGCTGCTGCTGGTCAAAAGCAGCAAAAACCAAACTTTCCGAAAAACTGTCTGCATGCAAAAAGACAGGATCCCCCAAACTCTCTTCTCCTTTTTCCAGCCCCAAACGCATGCATGCAGACACTTCTCCCCGGGCCCCCCGGACTTCCACAAACGCCACGCATGCGCTTCCGAGGCCCCCCGGGGGGCCCCCGGGGGCCCCCGGGGGGCCCCCGGGGGCCCCCGGGGCCCCCGGGGGGCCCCCAGGGGGCCCCCCCCGCGCCCCCAGCGATCGACGCGGCGCCCCCAAGTCCGAACCGCCAGGGGGGCCCCCGGGGGGGCCCCCCACTTCCGCTGCGGACGCCTCAGAGGGGGCCCCCAGGGGGGCACTGCCCACAGCGGAGGGGGCCCCGGGGGGGCCCCCGGGGGGGCTCAGCGGGGCCCAGGCGCTGCGGGGGGCCCCCGGGGGGGCCCCCAAGGCCCCCGGCTCTCCCGCCTGGGCTGCGGGCTCCAGGGGGGCCCCCAAAGGGGGGCCCTCCTCCTCGCTGGGGGGCCCCCCCTCCTCATGGGGGGCCCCCGGGGCCCCTTCTTGGGCGAGGCGCCGCCTGGCGGGCCGCCCCTGGGGGCCCCCCGAGGGCCCCGGGGGGGCCCCCCCGGCGGGGGCCCCCTGGGGGGCCCCCTGGGGGGCCCCCTGGGGGGCCCCCCGCTGCAGGAAGTAAACCCTGCCAGCCACAGGGTCCACTGAAATCAGCTGGTTTAGGGGAGCAGCACAGAACTGGCTGAGGGCCCCCGCGCCTTCCGTGGCAAACAAAAAGGGTCTTTTAAGGGTCTCTTTTAAGTACCCATTTAGGGCCTCCAAAGACCCCGCAGAGACCAGCCGCACGCACCCCACGCTGCCCTCGGGGGCCCCCGGGGGGCCCCCCGGGGGCCCCCCGGGGGCCCCCCCATGCAGCCAGGGGCAGCTGAATGAAAGCCAAGACACAAAAGTTTGCTGCCCGGGGGCCCCCCCGGGGGCCCCCCGGGGCCCCTCCCAGGGGGCCCCCAGGACGTCTGCGCAGGTCCAGGAAATGGGCACCGGGGGGGGCCCCCGGGGGGGCCCCCGGGGGGGCCCCCCGGGGGGCAGCTGGGGGCCCCCGCATGCAGCCAGGGGCAGCTGAATGAAAGCCAAGACACAAAAGTTTGCTGCTGCTGCGCTGCAGCCAGGAAAGGTATTTCTTTTGAAAAGTCTGCTGTCCCTGTAAAGGCCCACGACGGAGGGGCCCCCGGGGGCCCCCGGGGCCCCCATGAGGGTCCGCGAGTCCACGCGCGGCTGGGGGCCCCAGGGGGCCCCCGACTCCACGGCCCAGGGGGCCCCCGAGGGTACTGCGCGCTGCAGCTGCACCAGCGGTTCGTGGGCCTCGAAGTAGCTGCGGGGGGCCCCCGGGGGCCCCCCGGGGGCCCCCGGGG